TATATATATATATATATAAAATGTTTTATTTTTTTTCTCACAGAGCAGTAATGACAATTTTCTTAAAATAAATAAATAAATAAATAAAATGAAAAAATCTCTTTACTTTACTTATCTCTTTACATTCATTTTTGGATGATACATGACCAGACATTTCTTGACAGTTTTTGTATGATTCTAATAAAAACATGAAAGGATTCTATGTTTTTTCATGTGTATGGTAGCCTATATTATGATAATAATAATAATAAATAAAATAATAAATAAATAAATAAATTGATCCATGCCTTCCGCTAAAGTCCAACTTTATATTATAAAAGTGCAATGAAGGAAAATGGAAGCTTCTAGTACGTGATCATCCAGCCACATGCTAATTTCATCACTGTGTGTCAGCTGTCATGAAATAGATGTTAATAACAGCTGTCCATCCTAGTTTAATGCCAGACATACTTCTCATGCTTTACTGTTACATCTGTCTGTGCATTTCTATATTAACAGGTCTCAATGCATGAAATGCTAAAGCATTTGTATTCTAAAGATATGAATGAGGTACAACAAAAACAGGACATGTAAATACTCTAGTCCAATAATTCAACACAGGGCTAAGAGCAGCTCTGATACATGACATTAATGAGCATGTAATAACTGCAGATCTGAGAATAAGGAGTGGTCTGGGCCAACAGTTCAGAGTCCAGATATTCACACACTGACAGAGAGAGAGAGAGAGAGAGAGACACAGAGGGTGTGTCTGCTGTTGCTGCAGTGCTGTAGTCCTGGCACACCCCGACACACACATGAACACATGCTGTGGGCTCATCACAATCCATTCACACACTCTCCTATCCCACACCGGTCATGACATACTTTAACATCTTTGATTTACGTAACTAAAACTGGGGAGTAATTTTCAAAACATTTTATATTGATATTCCAGATCTTGATTCTTTTATACTCTTCCTACTTAAATAGTTCAAACAGTTTTCATACAGTTTGGTAAAATATAATCAAAAAACGAGCACATTATAAAGCATATAGTACACTTGAGATAAATAGTACGCTTGTAGTATGTCTGAAGTTGCGGCATTCATAATATTTCAAAATATTTTTATCATAGTATTTTTTAATACTACAACAAAATACTGTTTTAATGGTCACACATTTTGTTCCTCGTTAACTCTTTCCCTGCCACTGATGATACTTTCCGTCCATTATTACACAACGCTTCTCCGCCACTGACAAGTTATTCTGGTAATCTGTGTTTTCAATGTTAGGGGGCACTGTTACAAATTTTCTGAAATAGTATAGCACTTCCAAATCCAAAAACAAGTGAAAAAGAAGATCTGCGTAAACCAGAGGAAGTGGATAGAAGTTGTTTACTCACAAGTAAGGTAACATGATCACCAAACATTCAGCAGCATATAAATCAAAAAAGAATAACATATGAAGAGGTATTCAACTGCACAAGCTTTAGAGGTGTTGATAGATTTTTTTTGATGGAATCATCAATTAAAAAGACTATCAAACTGTTGCTTGTTTGTTTGAACATCACAGCAACACAGCAGCACTGGCTTAACCAATGGTGTGACATTTGGGGCGTGGCTATCTGTTAGATTAACAAATAGCAGGTAAGGGGAGCGTTCAATAAATTTGTTTGAAACAGTCATTATTTTTTACAATTTCGTTTGGCGATGCTATTGGTGTAGAAACTATACACTTCACCTTTATATAAATGATTGTGTAAATCTTTGAAATGCACCCAAACAAACTATAAATAAGGTTGTAAATATTTCATACGGGTTAATCAGTAATCATTTCATACACTTTCAGTCTTTCACTTCCTCTAGTAATATCAGTCCCTGGCTTCTGTCTAGATACTCTAGCATGTAGAAATGTCATCCTCTGTCTGTGTAATGTGGGCTCAACCTCTGCAGTGTGTGGGAGTTTCCTTTGAACATCTCTCTCTGTCTGCCTCCCTCTCTCCCTCTCTCCCTCTCTCCCTCTTTCTCTCTCTCTCTGTATTACTAGGAACCACACAGTGTGTTCTGGAAAGGCCTCAATAAAGCCTGCATGAAGTCATTTTCTTTTATCTTCAATATAAGTGGAATAATTAATATATTTGCTATAACTTCGCAGGCCATATAAAATGAGGCGGCATCATAAACATTGCAATACATTTAATGAGTTTTTTTTTTTATTTAGCCATTAAATTGAACTGAAATTACAGTTGTCATATCTGTCCATTTTAATTATTCACTTAATAATTGACTCAGTGCTTCATTTGCATAAGCACTCAGAAATGTTTATGGCGTGTGCCATTTTTGTGCATTAAAATGTTGGTAACACTTCACAATAACATTCTTTTTTTTTGTATTTTATATTTTTCTCATTATTTTTATTTTAGCCAAAGATTTAGCAATTTTGTTGTGTTTTTTGTAATTTTAAGTCAATATGTCTATTTTTATAAATTGACTTTCAATTTTAGTTTTAATTCTTTAGTTAAACAATGAAATACTGCAAATTCAACAAATAAATACTGATGTTCATTGTTTTTGTTCATGGTCGTATATTCAGGTACGAAGGTAATAATAAATGCTATAAAATGATTCTCAAAAGTCATAAAAAATCGAAGCTATATTGCCCAGCTCTAGCTACTGGAGACATAACTGTTTTATCCGACACCAGCTCGGCCACGGCTCATTGATTTAGCTGTGGGTGTCATGCAGCATTCTGTGGAGTATAAGTAAAACTCAATACAAAATGATTAGTTCAATACCCTGGCAAGGAATGGCTATCACAGGCTCATGTATAGATTTAGAAAACAAGATTTTTCTTAGATAGAACATGGAATTCAATCGATGCATCACTACAAAGAAGCCACCTTCATTTCTAAAGGACCAAAAGGTGACATGAACTTGAGAGGCCGAAACACAATGAAGCAAGCTCTGTCCTGCCGCTGTGGTTGACAGACAGCTCAGATCATCAGAGTGAGGCAATGTCCCGTCCCGCAGCCCAGCAATGACTGGATATGGGCTTTATCAGGGTTGATCATCAGCCAGCACTAGCAGAAGCCAAGCACAAGCATTACAGGAACACACATG